GGGGGACAACTAGGGTCTGCTACAGCTTCCACGGCTCTGCGGCTGTGCAGGAGGGGGGGGGGGACTTTCGAGACGTGCCGAGCGGTGGCGGAACCGAAAGGGACTTCGGCTCTGCCACACATGTTTAGGCGGGAAGCCTTGTTTTCAATCTGACAACGACGCCCATCGCCTATCCTGCGGTTACTGCCTTTTGTGTTCGTGTGGTTTCTTGGTTTCTTAGCAAGTTGGTGTTGATGAGCAATGGATGAACTCATTGATTATTCGTTAATAGCTGAAGATGGCGAAATGTTTTATACTCGGATTACTAAAAGGGATGCGGCAATGTACGAGATGGGTAAGTGCAAACTTTCTAACCTATCCAAGTCGAGGTAGACCAGTGGTAGAGTAACTAATTTGGTATTTGTATTTCCCTCCACTGTAGATCACCATAAAAGATTTCGACTACTTAACAAACTTAAGAGTCAAAAATCACAGCACATCCAAGTGGAAAATGGGAGCTCATCTGCTTGTGTTTGTAAGCAATGATATTCTAGTCCCCTGTTGCCTCTTTGTTGAACCCCGTGTCTTAATCATGTTCTTATGTTGTGCAGCTCATTCCATGCCTCACTCCGCTTCTGACACCAGTAAATCTGCTGGAGGAAAAACGGGAGCGCAATGGAAGGCAATAGATTGCTACAGATTGCTGCAGATTTGCATGCCGTACCGCAAGTGGCTGCGCAACACTAAAACCGTTCCAGACGCAATGTTCCAATTATTGGCCAGTCAACTGAAGGTCAAACATGGCTATAATTTTAACCAATTTCAAGTCAAAGAAAAGTTAAGAAACTTGCGGAACACATTCCGTAACTGCAAAAAAGGTCTAGGAAGTGGCACCAATTGGGAAAACTACTGGTCAATGGTGTATATTTACGACGATCCTATTGTTGAAGGAGATGTAACTCTAGCACCAGAGGGTAAGTGCATCATCTCCTAATAGGCCCTATCGATTTTGGACATTGCCTTTCTGATTGTTATGTATCTCTTCAAGGTTTCAATCCTGATGCCACTGAGGCATTCAGTCATCCCATTGCCCCTATACCTGTCACTAGTACAGTTGGCTCGGACATTCAACCCCAGTCCAGCTTGTCATATCTTCCAGAGACCCATTTAAGTCCTCCCCTGTTGGCAGCAGGCAGTGTCCCTAGTCCTGCTTTTGCTACCCCAGCTATTGGTGGATCGTGTTCTCCACCAACCAATAGTGAATTCCTAAGTCTTCTATCATCATGTGTGTATATACTGAATTTTGTTTTTGATAAACTTTTGTGAAATCTTTTAAATTCTTATTTGATGACTTTTCAACTGTGGTTAATTATTCTTGTTACAGCTGTGAGTGTCCTAAATAACTTCTCAGAGCATGATGACTATTCCCTATGGGGTGAACCACCACTGTCTAGCACCCAACTGCCAAGATCATCCCGTAAGTATTGATTGTGCAGTTTGCACACTAACTCATTCAGTACATTTAACAAATATCCTATTGAAGTCCTGATAACTTTTTTAGCAGCTGTGGACAACAGCTTACAACATGAAGGGGATGTTTTCAGCGAAGTTGAAAACAACATAAATGATTTGACCGTGATCGATGAGGAGGAAGAAATAAATAATGCAGCTTTGGTTGATGGTACTTCCCTCTCTTTATTCTGTTTATGCCATATTATTGCTAGTATCTTTAATACTACCGTATGTTTCATCTATTTGTTTCAGTCAATCAAAATTTAAGATCCCCTGCCAAAAAAAAAGGTCAAAGAGATGGTAAGTGTGATATTAGTTAAAGAGTGTTAGGACTAAACTTTTACCTATTAATATTGCTTATTTACTTCTGAATGAATTACTTTCAGATGGAACTATCCAAATAATTCATAGGACACCTCAGAAAACCCCACGAAAGAAACCAAGTGGTACTGCTGGAGCCACTCCATCTAATGCCTCCCCCGCCAGAAGCATTGTTCAGAAGAGGACTCCCAGAAGAAATTTGTGCTCGCAAACTGACCTTGTCTGGGCTCCAGCCAAAGTTAAGTTACTGCTCGCAGAATGTTTATTAAGGAAAAACAAAGAGCAACAACAGAATGTTCCTGTGGCGACCTGGAAGGAAATTTCAGGGGCTTTGAAAGACATTGGAGAGACGGTGAAATGGGAGGTTTGCAGAGGAAAGTTCCACAGCTTATCTGATTATTTCTCAGAAAAACTACTTCATACGGGCGGCATTTTAAGTGGGGTGAAGGTCCCTTATTATGACCTGCTATGCCAAATACATGATGTGCCTGTGGACTTAGTAATGCCTTCAGAGGTTACACCTACTGGTGAGTGTGCATACTAGTAATTGTGTTGTTCATTTTTATGTATCTAATACATATTAATTTTTAATTCTCATTTTATTTTTGAAACAGGTAATAAAGTCTGGGATCGTGCTGGGATCAGCCTCCTCTTAAGCCTTTATAAAGCACGCCAACATTTATTCAATGGCACCAATTCTTGTGTAAGACACTCCACTTTGTTTAGAGAAATTGCATCAGCCATGGACTCTTTTAAAATTCATGTGTCGGGCAAGCAATGTAGCGACAAATTCAGTGAGCTCAAGCAGAGGTACCATCAAGAATATGATGATAGCCACCGTTCAGGGGCATCTCCCAGCACCTGGGAATATTATCAGGACATGAATGCTCTCTTTGGTGAAACGGCTGGAATTAAACCACCCTTCACTGTTTCCCTTGGCACATCTACCAGTTACCAGGTGAAAGGGAAAGAATGCCAATTTGAGAATGCAAACAGCAGGACACGACCTACGTAGTTCAGTAAATGATTCCAAAAAAGGGGGAAAAGGGGGGAAAAAGGCACCTGCTTCATCGGGTAGAGCAACCTTTAGGTCAAGGGCTGTGGAAGCACAACAGGGATAGGAAAGTTACTTTTAAAAATGTAACTAGTTACAGTTGCAGTTAGTTTTGCTAAAAATGTAACTAGTTTCAGTTACAGTTACTTTTTCTTAAAGATTGCCGTTACAGTTACAGTTACATTTTTTTCGCCAAAAATTGTAACTAGTTACAGTTATCCCGGTAGTTTTTGAGTTAAATTGGTCGTTGTTTTCTAATAATTATTTTGTAATGGAAAAATTGTTTGCAAGGTAGGCGATTACGCATTATTTAAAGTCCGCAAAACTCTGCTTTCCTCGTCGTCTAGCGAGGGTCAGAAGGGGCTGGGTAAGGGGAAGGATAGGGGGCATCCTTGTTTTTGTGCAGCAGGTACAGAGTGTTGCGACTATTGCCGGACAAGCGGGCGGCTAACCCAAGGTCGCCAAGGCCGGGCGAATGTGAACCGTGACAAATGCGGCAGAGCATCTCGAAGACCGCTCTGTTGAAACGGATAATTGACATGCAGTAAATAAAAGGGTCTTCCTCCTCGACCTCGCCGCCTTGCTTGCACAGGCCTGCCCAGACCCCAGATGAGCCTAAACAATACCGTCTTTCCAGCTCCTTTTCCTTCATTCCTCTGAATGCCGCGTTAGCCGCATACTCCAGATAGCACATTGCAACAGAATGTGGATAAATAGGAAAGAAATCTCATACTTTTGAAAAGTTCTACTGGGCAAAAATAACTGTAACTGATATTAGTTACAGTTACAGAAAAAAATGTAACTAGTTACAGCTACAGTTATTTGGTTTGAAAATGAAACTAGTTACAGTTTCAGTTGCTGCAAATTGTAACTAGTTACAGTTACAGAAACTAGTTTAGTTAAATTTTTCCCATCCCTGAAGCACAAGAAACTAGAGTCCAGCAACAAGATAGATTGATTGACCAAATGGAAAAATTGCGGGATACCTACTCTACTAATTGTGAGAGGCAAAATCAGCTTCTCAAAAGGTTAATTGAGAAGGCAAGCAGCAATAAGCAATCTTAGACTTATTGCTGAAATTAATTAGTAATTGTTTTTGTTCTGTGATTCATTAGTATATATTGAATGGTAAATGTGTTGTGCTAAAATTTACTGAAAGAAAGTATTTTTTGTTTTGTTCCTTTTATGTAATGACTTACGAGTTACTCAGTATTTTTTTCATGTTATTTAATCTCATTGAAAGTTTAATCTTTCCTCTCAGTTTATGTCAAGATAGACATTTTATTATGTTTTCTATTTTTATTTTTACTTTCAAGGCTTTCATTGTTATTTCAGCCTGGTTTAAATATAAACCTTTGCATTGAAATCTGTGTGTAATTTAGTTATGATCCATCCCTTCACTTGCTTACATTCACGGTTTGTGCTTGAGATAGAGTTATAACATGAAATAACTTTCCAATTTTATTTGGTATCTATTACTGAACAAGGACATGATCCATAAACAAGATTCTCTTCTCCAAACCTCTGGCATTAGCAGCTTCCATCCTTTCCAATAGTTCTGGATCTTCTTCCTGCTCAAACTCTTCATCCTCCTCTTCTTCTTCAATAAAAGGCTCACGACCCAGAATTTCGTTTACACGAACAGGCCTTCCCAGTTCTTCTTCCTGAAAATAGAGTGTATGCATAAAAACTAGTAAGCAGTAAAAATAAAACTGCATATAAATAAAACTTGGCTTACATCTATTAAAGGTTCTCCATGCAGAATTGTAAAATTATGCAGTACAAAAGATGCAGTTATGTGGTCGATAACCACCTCCTGTTTCCTTGCATGCAGGAATTTAAGTCTCCTCCACTTCCCTTTGGCACGGGCAAAGGCATTTTCTACTCTCACCCGGCTCTGTGATAGTTTTTTGTTGTAGTTCAATTGAGCTGCAGTCAGGTGGCCATTGTTTCGAAACGGAACCATCATCTAAACACAAAGAAATAACATAACAATTAGTTAATATATAAATAAATTAGGTAATTGGATGTAAAATTAGTGGGAGAACAAACTTACAAACTCGCTCTGAGTGTATGCGCCGTCTCCATCAATGTGCTCATCGTCAGAAATAAACTGGCCTGGTTGCCCCATTACCAGATCCTTCAACAGAGGGCTTCTTCTAAATACTCGACTATCGTGCATGCTCCCCACCTCCCCTACATGTAAGTGCCTCACCAGCAGAGTGCTGTCAACAACTGCTTGCACGTTTATACTATAACTATCATGACGATTTTTGTACTGAGCAGCATCCTTTAAGGGAGCAGTGACATTAACATGCGTCCCATCAATAGAACCAATAATGCCTGGAAAACCAGTAGCTCTTTCAAATGTATTGCTGATCGACCTCCTCTCATCAGCATCTGGCCAACTAATATATTGGGGAGCAGGTTTCCGCAAAGCCCAAATGACATAAAAGTAAAAATAGTACAGAGAACCAGGGTTCACTCCAAATTTCAGGGAAACACTTCGAAAGGAGTCTGGCGTTGCCAACAACCATACCACCATGAGCATAATGTCTTGGAAAGGAGTTCTTTCTCTTTGCAGCTTATTCTTTTCAATGAGAAAGTTTTTGACAGTGGTTACAAGGATCTGTAAATAGATACAAACTAGATAACATTTTTGCCCTTGATCTAAATGCTTTTAGTACAGAATCACAGCAGATAAATAGCAAAAGATCACCTCAAAGACAGATCTTGTCATCCTAAAATGTAACTGAAAACAGGGATCTCCCATGGTATGGTAGTCATCGATCATAACTGTCACCTTTACCCACCAGTCACCCATTAATTCTAAATCTGTAAAAAGAAAAAAAAAAAAAGTTCACAATTGTAAATAAGGTATCAAATGAAAATACTTTAACTATGAATATTTTTAAAAAGGGAAAGAAAACAAATCAGTTACTTAACCCTTCATAATCATCTTCCAACTCCATAATTTCGTAAGCAGCAGCCTCGGCAGCTAACATCATCAATTGCATAAATTGATCGTTTTGCTGATTTATTATTTGAACGGCTAAAAGCGCTATAGTCTCAAAATCCCCCTCCATTTTGTTTACAATTAGAATTACAGAGACAGAAAACTGTCCTCCAGAATACCCCTAACCTTTCCTTCTCGGCAACAACACAAACTTGTTACGACAACAAAACACACTAGCCGTCCGAAAAGGAACCTCAATGAGTCTCCTTCCAACTCGGCTCGGCTCGGCTCGGCTCGGCTTGGGCTTGTCTCGGGAGCGAAACGCTGGAGGAGAGGGGTATCGCCAGAGCAGCCGCAGAGCCGTGGAAGCTGTAGCAGACCCTAGTTGTCCCCCCCCCCCCCACCTCTCTCCACTGCTCCCCTCTCCCCCCCTCCCCCCACGCCCGAGCGCGCTCCGCCAAGCGTTCGCAACGCTTGCGGGAGCGTGCGTCGAGCGTTGGCTTAATTGAATATAGCTTCGCTTTCTTTGTTCGCTCGCTCGCTCGCTCGTTAGTTCGCTGGTTCTCTCACTCGCTCGCTCGTTAGTTCGCTGGTTCGCTCGCTCCTCGCTCGCTCGTGTTCTCTGCTCGCTTGCTCGTCGTCTCTGTTCGCTCGCCCCTCACTCGCTCGTGTTCTCTGCTCGCTCGCTCGTCGTCTCTGTTCGCTCGCCCCTCACTCGCTCGTCCTCTCTGTTCGCTCGCTCGCTCACGCCCTTAGCTCGCTCGCTCGTGCCGTTTGCTCGCTCGTTCGCCATCCGGTTATCTCGCTGCCCTGCTCTCCAGAAGTCTTTTAGCTAGTTCATCAATGACAGTACAGACTTGCCGTTTGTAGCCTGCAGACCTTGAAGCCTGAGCTTGACTCTACCCGCCGGCTAAGTTTCTGTCGATCGAGTCGCAGTCAAGAACACGTCAGTCCGGAATGGAACCATGGCTGAACCTCCTTCACGACCTGTAAGTACATCTGCTGATGTGACGGTTTATTTTAGACATGGTTCACTTTGATGTTCGTACTCGCACTGGCGTCTTGGCCGACTTAACCTCTCGTAACTTTTTCGTAACGTTGCAGTCCAATTGTCTAGGTGTAAACTTGTAGACTACTTAGATTGGTTAGTAGGAAAGTAGAGGTTAGGAAGGTTAGGCCGGCGCACAGAGTGTATCTCATCTGGTATGTAACGCTCTTAAATAATTTCCCTTTAGGATGTCTTTGACATAAGTTGTAAAATCTTGTTCCTTGTGTAGTTTTCATGTAGATTATGCTTCGTCGACGCCCCATCCGCCACGTTAGGCGTCGTGTTCACTTGGAACATCTTAAGCGCGAAGCTCTAACCAGTAGCAGTAGTGACAGTAGCAATGAATCAGACCACGATGAACCCCCTCCATAGGGTGGCCCACGGCAAAAAAATTATCAGACCGGCGGTTAGTTCATCACGGTAAAAATAGTTTCGTGTATTACAAGACCTGGTCTTGGATTAGCGTTCTCCATAAGATCCAAGACCGGGTCTTGTAATACAAGAAACTGTTTTCACCGTGATAGAGATCAAGATGACCCATGCTTTGGGCATTCTAAAACCGCCCCGTTCGTCCTTATCGGACCCCGGGAACCACTCGCTCAACGTCTTTGCATTTTAACATGGGTTCCTTATGGGCTTTTGGGTGTAAAATCGAAAAGCGACTCTGTAGAGTCAGAAAGCCACCGCAGAGCAATATAATTATGAAATTCGTAATGTACGTTAAAAACTGAATCTGGCAATGTAACGTTCGTTACTGTAGCACCTAGGACCCAGATTTGCAAACCCTCATAGATCTCCATATTTTGAAAAATGAGGGAATATTCAAAGCTTGGCAAATCTGGGTACTGGGTGCTACAGTAACGAACGTTACATTGCCGGATTCAGTTTTTAACGTAGGTTACGAATTTCATAATTATATTGCTCTGCGGTGGCTTTCTGAGTCTTCAGGGTCGTTTTTCGATTTTGCACCCAAAAGCCCATAAGAAACCCATGTTAAAATGCAAAGACGTTGAGCGAGTGGTTCCCGGGGTCCGATCGGGACGAACGGGGCGGTTTTGGAATGCCCAGAGCATGGGTCATTTCGATCTTTATGAACTAACCGCCGGTCTGATAATTTTTTTGCCGTGGGCCACCCTACCCCTCCACCTCCAGAACCATTTGAACATCAGGAAGTTGATGAACCCCCGTTTGTCCCAGATGCAGTTCATCTTCAGGATGCTCACTCTAGCGATGAGGTTGATAGGAATGAATATGCTCCAGTCCTATATGAGGGAGTGCTTGACCAACCTCATGACGTAGATCCCAGGCTTGTTGATCAAGATGCTTATCGTTTTCATTATGCTCACGAGAGTCTCAAAAAAAAAGGGCTCAAAAGGGTGGGAGTTATGTCAAAGTAGATGAATTGCTAGGCATATTTAGGCCTACCTGGAATAATCCTGACAAGTCTTATAGAACTCTTGTTCGTACACCTCGGGAAGAACCTCTTCAAGCTGTAGCTGGCCACGAAACGTGGTGCATAGGTATTAAAGAGAACCTTCTTCAAAGAATTAACGAGGATTTTTTTGATGACCATGACTCTGTGTCTATTGATGTCTTTGTAGATAGTTTTCGGCCTTTTAAGAGTAGTGCTGTCTCGTTCTGGGCCATCCTTGGTTCTTTGGCAGACGATGATGATCCTTTCATTATCCAGTGTGGACGTGGAGGGAATCATGCTCCCATACAGGACTTCTTTGCTAACTTTGTAGATGAAGCTCATGAACTCCAGAATGATGGATTCTTAGTCTTTGGTGCTAGATGTCCCTTTCATTTTAGGTACATATTTGCTGATGCTGTTGGGAGGAGTTACATCAAAAACATTTGTTCGCTGAGCGATTAGCGAAGCCTATGACTCCGTCTGGTCGGAAAAACTTTTTCTGTCTGTCTGTGTATCTGTGTGTCTGTGTCTGTGTGTGTGTCTGTCCGCACGACAACTCGAGAACGCATTAAGCTAGCGACCTGGGATTTTCAGGGTCGTTTTGTACCACAAAAAGGCAGATCGAGTTCGAAGATGAGCATTCTACATCAAAAATTCAACTATCAAAAAATCTGAAACAACAGGTCCCAAAAATGACGTTTCTTAAAAATATTTTTTAATTGGCTGATCGATTAGCGCAGCCCATTACTCCACTGACCCGAAAAGTTTCATTCTGTTTGTTTGTGTGTTTGTTTGTGTGTTTGTTTGTTTGTTTGTCTGTCTGTCTGTCCGCACGATAACTCGAGAATGAATTGAGATAGCGATCTGGGAATTTTAGGGTCGTTTTGTATCACAAAGACAGATCGAGTTCGAAGATGAGCATTCTAGCTCAAAAATTGACTTTAAAAAAAAATCGAAACCGCAGGTTGCAAAATGTATTTATGGGTTCTTAAGGGGTAACTCGTCAAAGTATAGCCCTCTGGGCAAAAATTTCGTCCGTTTTGCTCTATCTTGTACCGTTTCGGAGCTATGGGGCATTTCTTGGCGAACACAACGTGAAAAAGACAAAATGGTCCATTAAATCGTAAAAGGGCTGCATGTCACAGAATTGTAAAGGGAGTAATACTTAAACCACAGGTCGCACTACACCCTCTTTTGAGCTTAAGGGTCCCTAGATTACCTAGTATCTCTTAAACGTTGATTTTTACATAACAATCTGTCAAAATTCAAACTTTTAATGAAAACCGTTACCGAACAGCAGACGTTTCGTGTCCCTAATTTTAGAGTGAAAGGGCCCTGACAGATGGTTCGAGTATGTCAAATTTTGGCCCCGGAAAGCCCTGTTCCCCAATACCCTCTCCTTAACTCGTCTCGGGTGTCAGCGCCGCAGGCCTAGCTATATGTGCGCCAGGCGCGTCGCAGCGTAACAGTGTTTCGTGAGATATCGCGAAGCCGGTTACGCGAGACGTGGTCTGGCGTACATATAGCTAGTGGTAATCGAAGGGGGTAACTCACCAAAGTAGAGGCCTTTAGGCGAAAATTTTGTCCGTTTTGCTCTAGCTCAAGCCGCTGAGGCGCTAGAGGGTATTTTTGACGAAAATAAGCGATAAAAAGTACAACCCTGCATGCTCAGTCGAAGTGATGGGCCGTAGGCCCGTATCTTTGTGTACATATTGCTACTACCTGACCCGGGTGTCAGCGCCGCAGGCCAAGGTAGATGTATGCCAGGCGCGTCGCAGCGTAACAGTGTTTCGTGAGATATCGCGAAGCGTGTTACGCGAGACGTGGTCTGGTGTACATCTACCTTGTAATCATGCTGGTCATCATGGATGTGAGAGGTGTAACATTCTAGGACACCGATATAGAGTGTAGTATGAAGTTTTCCTTGGACCTAATGGTGCTCTCCGAACTGATGAGTCATTTTTTGAACGCACAGATCCTAATCACCACAATGGTGACTCTCCTTTAGAATACCTTGGTATTAACATGATGTCTCAGATTCCACTTGAAGGACTCCATCTTGTTGATGAGGGCGCAATGAGGCGATGGCTGAGACAAGTTTGGGGTAAATACAAGCACTTTAGGCGAGGTTCAATAGGTGCTCGGGACAAACTTCGAGTTGAACGGTTGGTACCCAGACTAAGACGGTGTATCCCTTCGGAATTTAACAGATGAACGAGAACATTAGCTGATGTGGGATTGTTCGAAGGGACAGATTTCAGAAGATTGGTACATTATGGGGGCGTTCTGCTTTTTAGTCACTTTTCTCCTGACCTTAATTGAATTTCTTCTGCCTTCATTGTGCAGTGACTATCTTGTCATCACCCCATTATATTGCCTCTGAGGAAATGGTGCAAATTGCTGATGGTCTTTTGCGGAGGTTCTCCTCTCAGTCAGAGGTCTTACTTGGACCTCAATTTGTTGTTTATAATATTCACAGCTTGCAGCATCTAGCAAATGAATTAAGGCAGCATGGCAATATTGACAAGTTTAGTGCTTTCAAATTCCTTCTTTGCTATTATGAAGAACTCCCTGCGGTCTGGTAACC